GAATGCACTGCAGACAACCTACTGATAATGACACTCAGGTGTTCCTTCAAACTAGCAGTTCAGGTTGCAGAAGCCCCGAGGTGGTTCTCAAATCGCACCATGGCTTACGACCTACATGGACACAACGCGACCAGGAAGGAAGAAGTTCGTAGACAATTCGGAGTCCAGTCGATTAAAAGATGCAGTAAGGTGTCAGTTTAAAAATGCACAAGTCCGACAAGTGCATCTGTGAACGACTTGGAAGACATTCCACATGGACGTGGTCGTCAGGAGGATCATAAGGAGATACGACTTGCGAAGCCCACTGCGAATATCTGCAACACTCCCAACTGTTCAAAGCCGGTTATTTGAACGCCGGTGGGGTTTAAAGGCAATATGAAGGTAAGTTCGTCTACCTTTAATGGTGCACTTAGACTCCTACGAATACAAAAATGTCTTTCGAGCAAATCGCCAACACTTCCTCGTTTTCTCGTATGAATCGCCATACCGGTTCTTCGACGAATGCATCATTTTACACCATTTGAGGGGTGAAGTAACGAGAGTTTGCGGATGGTAAGGCTTTAATTCTATTCAACTTAAATATTCCCAAATGACTTTCGGTCAATAAGGCGACCATGGGTTCACAAGGGCCAATTCTCCGTTTTTGCTTGCGTGTATTCCTAAAAAACCAAGTCTTTGTAAAAGATCTTGGGCCATTACCCATTTTATGTCAAGTAACTACTTAAAACGCAAACACGTTTAAGTAGTCTAGCGGGAAGAAGGAAGAAAACCTGTCCATCATTTGCAGGCGTCTGGAATTAAAGACCTCCGAAGGTGGGCTGGTACAAGGACGTTGGCGGATATGTTTCAAGACATGCCAGAGTAAATGGGCAGAATAAAGATGAGTGGAAACTAACGGGAGATGTCTTCGTGAGAACACTGATAGGTTAACTGAATACTAAAAATGAGAAGGGCGCAGTTTGGTTCGTGTTGTGCTAATTATGGTAAATCAGCAAGAAAGAAATCGATTTTGTACAACTTAAAACAGGGTAGTGATAATTATTTTTGCAGGATCATAACGGTCACTAATTGGATGCACCAAACGAGGCTAAAAGTGCTGTTCTGGTGACCGCAGTTTCGTGGGAATGCAATAACAGGACACGGACACATGTAAGTGTTGGTGATGAAGGCACCAGAGAAGTTTCACATTGTGATAAATATCTTCCCCATCAACGAATCACACTCCGGATAGCGCCTATGGTCACGACCAAAACAAAAACGTGCCAAGACCGAGAGACACGATCAACCTCCGAGCGCAAACGTGATTTTAGGCACTTAGTAATGACGTTGGCAATATTCTATAACACTGACGACAAGTCAGAAACAGTTTTCAAGAAAATTCAATACAAAATTGATAAGGTCCTATGTCAGACACAACGTGGTCAGTGAATTCGTGGTAAATTGATGTCACTCGATACGAAAACGATAAGAAGAGTGCCAGATAAAAAACCATTGAGGAAAATGGAGAGCTAGACCGAATTATATATTGTTAGCAAAATCACAATTTGCATTGTGGACCACACATCAAAGGGACTAAATAGATCGACTAGCATCCAAGGCGGCAGAACACGAGCAACTGTTATGGAAAATAACGGCATAACCGTTCGAGGGAAGTATCAGGGCTTAATTCGAATTATTTATTGAAAAAGGGGATCAAATTCACGACAACCTAGAAACTAAGGCAATTTAAAGACACAACCTTAAAATTACAGACAAACTTAATGGTAAATAGGCTCGATATGAGACAAATGACCAGGAAAAACGATTAAATAGACGATTTTTATGCCTCTAATACGCCAAAATTTAAATCGATTCACTAAACAAACAGACAGCAATTAGCACCTACATCAGTTAGATTATGGACAAGTTCCAGGAGGCTCTGTTTGAAGCTCCAGCCACCATTGTTATGGAGGCCACAAAACGTAATATTGTCAAAGTTACATGCGAGCTCCTCCGATAGGAGACGGGTGTACAGATTGAGTTCTTGCGCCGTTGGTTGTGTAGGTGCAGCCAAAACAATCGGCGTCAGACAATACAGCATGAACACCTTCAAATGCATTTTAGATAAGGCATCGCATAAGTGTCTGGCATCAACACGATCTAAAAAACACAAAAAACGGTTTGTTTAGACTTCAAAAGCAGTCTCGTTTAATAGACACGACGACACAATAACCACATGATTTTTTTTCTCATCCAACTGAACAGATAACAAATGGGTGTTCAAAGAAACTCATTTACACATTAATCGTTTTGAAATGGACAGGATAAATTTATTGAAATGGCATTCGATTCCTGTGAGTATTACTGTGAAAGTGTACTCCGTATTAACCGACATATTGCAATTAGAAACCAACAGTGGTGGCGAAGCCAGACCGATTTGTAAGTACAAGCTTACGATGTTGCACAAGAATGCTACCGACAGTGCAGCTTATCGAGACCTTAGGTTATTTCAATTATGCATAAAAAACAGCCCGTCTCAAGTTAAACTGAATGAAAATGAATCCACGTGAGGAAAATCATGCACATTAAAATAACACCGATACAAAACAGTCAGATAGGAAGCCTAGAAGCAATTTGACATGTACGATCAAAGTGAAAAAAATTACTAATGGGCTACTGTTAGATGCGAAATTTTAAATAACGACATATTAATCAACAGAGATTTTAAACGTTGGTGGTTCTGCAATAACATGAAATTGATTTTAGAATTATGCGAAACAGGATTTTCATTACTATGTAGTGGGAGGATCAAAAATAACATTCCAAACAGCAATAGTCATTAACAAGAAGCTGAAGCAAAGCGCATACAAAAAGTGATTTATATGAGATTCCTGATTAACTTGTAGCATATTATATACTATTAACAATTTGAATGGAAAATAACGTGATGAGATTCATATAAATAACCCCATGCTAAAGCAAGACAAAATTTTTAATATACCAGAAGCTTTGCAACTGTCACAACGAATCAACTAACACATAAATAGGCAGAAAAAGATTTCGGTTGATGAAAATTTTGCTCAGTAAAATCGCCACAGATCTGAATAACATGGAAATCCTGGTCATTCAAAAAAAGCAAATAAATGCTAAATTCCTGCCCAATAAATGAAATTCAAAGTCGAACACCTACGACAATTAAAATAGCGGGGGCTACAATGTTAATTCTAGGTTTCTTTAACTCATCAGTGACATCATCGGAAATTTTACCATCAATTACAAAACTATTTCCTTAATTTTAGCTATATGATTTGTTAAACTATTAGTTTCTAAACAAAATTGAATTTCAATAGTCGGTAACACATCATATGTTGTTACATAAAAATGAGATTATCACCTGATTATATAACTAACAAGCCAAAATGCTTACATTTAATTTTACCATGACCAACATTTTTAAATTAAATTTGAAACTTCTGGTTTAGATCCCGTTTATGCAGACTTCGGTCAATTATTAAATTGTTTGGCATGGATATAGGAAGCTACCCAAAAGGGTAAAAAGAATGTTAACAAACGCAAAACTATCCCCTAACTTCCTGTTCTTGGATATATTTTAGTGTAGTTGTGAATTTTGCATCCTCGAGCAACTATTGCAACTCATTGATTAAATAACAAGTAGGAGAATCGGTGATATGGTGATGTGTCTTGGATTCCTACCATATTTTTTTTCCTGGAACATAAAGAAGCATTTTTCACCTTATTCTTCTCATGATAAAACATAAGAAATGCGGTCATTGCATTCTCCACCACACCGACCTTTGCACCTCGTCTCTATCAATGTTGCTCAAGTTTGCCCATATAAACCTGTGCGTGTACCCCCTCCACAATACCAGTTTGATTTACCTGCGTGCTCAGTAATTTGTAATTTTATATTTTTACTGAAACTGTATTTATCGACAAAATTATCTAGAACGATCCGTGTTTAAGCGCAGTGCCGTGACTAACACAGCTAGGTTGGCATTTCTAGTAAACGGTTGTCTCTGCCACCTCTGGTCTTCATTATGTCTTCCCGAGTATCTGAGAGATTCAAACGGCTAATTCAACTCAATGCTCTGGACTTGGTACGAGAGCACATGCTGTGGCCTACGGCATATCTTTTTGAACAACATCCCCTGAAACCTGTTTGGAATCCTTTAAGCGAATTCGCATAAACAGAGTCCCAACCTAGGTTCCTATTGCATATTGAATTGCTGATCTAAACCCGGTTAATTAATTTGCATCATAAAAGGTTTTATAGTCACGGTTCCAGATTCCTCCTTAAATGAAAAACCCAGAAAGCCAACTGAACTCATTGTATTGTACAATCTTTAACTTCGGTGCACCATAAGTACATATACCCACAAAACATTAGATCGGACTTTCAGGTTGATGCCAGTATTCACTGATCCCGCCTTCACCTAATCAGGTCAACTGTACTCCTTCTGGGGTCATGGGTGTGTGTGTGTGCTGGTTACCCTTCGAATGAAATACCCGCTAAAACAAGCTGCCCAGAATAATGCCCATTTATCATTAGCGCTATCCTAATTTTAGCAATTTGATTGCAATGGCAAGAAGCAAATCAGAAAAGTAAAGCGACATGTATTCCTACCACAAGAAATAAAAGGTGAAATGAAGTCAACAAAATTGCGAACTTAGTACATAAAGGGCCAAAAACGAAATGCGTAAACCCTACAATGAAAAAAAAAAGAAACTTAAGTGAGCGAAATTGTGGGCAGAACAAAAGTAGGCATTTTGATACCTTATGTTTGATGTAAAGCACTTTGCGTCAATACTCAGCAGTTGACACATTATTTAGGAAGACAAATTGTGTTCTATACTTTCAATCACAAACCGCATTGACTGGGGATGTTTACCGTTGATTTGCTTTCCTTGTATGGCTTTAAAGGAAACACCAGGACCCCAAATCACGGTATGTGAATGTGAGGCTGGTGCGGGCACAAATACGTAGCCTACCAGCACTGTAATTAGGGATCAGCCGCCGTGGTGAATTCACTCTCCCCAAGCGTGCTATCTACAGCCGCGACACTCCAATCACCATGACCGCTGGGTAGTGCGGCGGGACGAGCTGACGCAGGTGTGGTGGAGATGCCCCAGTCGTCGCTTTCTCCACCCGTCTCTGGATCCACGAAAACCAGGTCCTCGGGGCGAGGTGGACGCGGAGGGAAGATCCCGTCCCAGTGGGCGTCCAGGGAGATCAAAGCTGTGGACAAAGCGGTGGTCGTGGTCTCGCCCTGGCTTGACACCGGCTCTGAAGCATCTCTGAGAGAGTCACGTCGCACAAGCTCAAAGGCCTGATGAAAGATACTTTCTGCCTAAAAGTGCAAAGGTTGAAATATGCTTCAAACAGATCAGCTTTGGTGGTATAAACCACTTTCAGAGTTGAAGAATGAACATAAATCTGAACCTGGAGATGCACGGAGAGACTATTTTTAGGGGAATGTGGGTCGAGAGTTTAAACAGACCAAAATTTAAAAAAAATGAATTTATTATTTAATTACGTGAACGGCTAAAAAAGGGATTAATACTGAGAGTCGCCTGAACGGATGAGCAACTTTGTGAAAAGAAGCCAACTTTGATTCGCTGTGTAGGAAGTAAACTGACCTGTTCCACCATTCCATCCATGAAGAGAGAGGAGTCTGGACCAGGAACCACAAAAATGGCCGCCGGTTCTGTCCCGAGGTTTGCTGTCAGGAGAGCCTGGTTTACACCAGAGAGATCGGGAAGGGTAAAGAAGCAATTCCACAAGATTCTGGGTTTTCCGGACGGGTTACTCCCAGTTGCATCTACAAAAGCCAATTCTAACCACCATTAGGCGGGCCTTACCAGCAAGTGGCGGCAGTAGTAACACAATGTGACGAAGCCGTGGTGGTGAAAATTGTTGCAATAAAAGATCTACGCTGAGAGTAGGACGAAGTTCTCTCACCTTTCGCATAGAGGATATCAATAGTGGAGGCGAAAAATTCCGCCGCGTCGACACAACTGTCACAAGAAGCCGTGAGGTGGGTTATGACTAGAAAAGTAAACAACACCAAGCATTGTTGCTTGCTTGGGTGCAAACAGCACGAGCGGAATTCAAACCATGTATGTTCTAAAATTTAGAAGAATAACTCACACAATTCGACTCTGCCGTTCCTTTTCTCAACTGGCGTTTCAAGGAGGAATGCTGGTTCGATGGCGACCTCACTTTGTCCCTGCATCGGTATGGGAACCAAAGTGATCTGGAAAGAAGAGGAAAAAAAAGCGCATCACAGGGCAGTCGAATCCAACACGTAAAGTTCAATGCTGATCTCAAAGTTAGCTGACTTACGTCATAAGGCTCGTGGCCGGCCGGGAAGAGAGAGGCCTCCGTGACAAGGATCGCACGAGCGATCCACCGCCTGACCTGCGGCAACACCCACGCACTCGGGGCCTGGTCCGCGCCGATCAGGACACATGACGTGGACACCTTCGGGCGAATCGGAAAGTAAAACGCGTCTGAGAGATCAACTCTGACAAGAACTGTCAGCTAGGCTGTAAACTTGACTTGTTCACACACTTCCTACACACTACCCTCCCATCCACAGCATACAAGCCTACATTGTTCAACAAGTTAGAACTTTCAACGAGAAAGTACTTTGAATTAAAGTACTTTGTAGAATAAACGCACAGGCCTTCACCACAAGAGATTCATTTAAACGCGGAATTCAGCCTCGCGAAGTTCCAATGCAGGTAAAACCGTGCGTGGTTTGAACAACTGTGCAGCGAAGTCAACGAAATAGGACTATTTGCATGAAAAGAAAAGTTCTAAAATATCGTTCTTTTTACATGCGTGCAAAAGCTGAAACGTGATTGAATGAGGACACGTTTGAGGCTCTATGTAACACAGTACCTGTTCTCCCGTGGAAAGATGGACGATGTAGCGTCTAGCGTGGGCATCCACGCCGGCGTCAATCGTTCGAATGGCGGTAATTGTTCTCCCTAGACAATACGTCCCCGAAAAGACCGCGCACATCCTTCAATTAGAACGTGTTTAATGGAGCACGTTTGCATTTCGGAATCCGACAATGGAATGCACAAAAAAAGCCCACCTGCAAAACGACTGAGGCAATTCGCCGCAACCAAACATGGGCCAGAGCAGGGGGAATGGGCCCACGCGATTCATGGAGCAGATTAGGCGACGAAACCGTGGCAGAGCCTTGAGGGGTGGATGGAAGAACGAAAAAACACTAGACGCTTCCGTAACATTAAAATATTAGTCTTCACTTGTCCTCTGTTTTGCTAAACTGGCTTCGTTGAAACACTATTCAAATCTGCCACTAGCAGTACGTGCCCCCTATTTGTTATATACATTTGCTGTTTAACTTTTACTATTGACTCTACTACTTGTTGTAATAATTAGTATTTGGGGTAACCTGGATAAAAAGATCTAACGTTCCGGATCGCTTCTGTTGTTCTTCGATTCTGGCAAGTCTGTCCGCTAAAGTTGTTAGTGTTTGAGCTAGAGATGAAGCGACGCGCCTTTCACTTGAAATTGACAACTAACTGCTTGTTTGTTCTGTTTGTGTATTATATTATATCAAGGGCAAGAAATATATGAACAAGGCGGCTTTAAATGTGTAAAAAGACGGTAAGGAGGTACGAGGCCTCAGCCAGAACACCAGATACTAGCTGCTGTTGGGGTTTCTTCCTACATTCGTCTTGGGACAATCACTTGATCCACGCCTAGGTGTGATCCGCATCCAGTTAAAATCGCCCTAAGATTCCTAAAGAAGGCTGACTAGAAGGTAGAATGACCAACACGACAGTCTGTGGTGTAAAAAAGTGGAGTTGACCTCAAACATACATTTCTCAACGTTATTGTGCTGTTTGCCAGGGCAAGGCAATTGACAACCACGCGCGAAATGAAGCCATCGAGGTTGCGCTTCCGTTGAAGATAATCAATGAGCGGACTGTCGAGATATGCTAAAAAGGACGGTTTCACGAAAGCAATAAACGCTAGTGCTTTGAGCAAACAAAAGGGTTACGTATTAGCTACTGGCTCAAAACAGGCACAATGTAAAATAACAAAAGGAAGTAAAAATTGTTGTCAATCCTAACTGCTACCCATCAATAATAAGTAGGGTCTATTATAAAATTGTGATTATACCTGCGTCCTCTGGGTCGAGGGAGGAAGAATCGAGCCCTCTCGCTCTGGCTTCACTAGACGTGTCAGGAGACGATGAAGAGGCAGTAACAGCCGCGCACCACTCCAGAAAACCAACAAGCATGCGCTTTTGAGAAAGCGAAAGAATTCTTGTTTGGAACACTTCCCCCCGCGAAACTGGGACCTGAGGAACGAGAGGCAAGCAAGCTGAAAACCTTTGACGCCTTTTGTTTCCTAATTCAGACAGGCTATGCACTTTGCACTAACCTTGACAAGAACTGACGAGGTCGTTTGTGGAGGACCGATTGAAGGCTGTCTGGACTTTGGATCGACTGTTTCCTGCTGGTCACGGCCTTCAGGATTGAAGGAAAGGAGGCGATTGATTGAACGAAATTCGAGGTATCTCGTAACATCCGAACGAATCATCGCTTTCACTATGGGGCTTTCAGCAAAAATCAACTAAAGGAAGAGTAAAGCGCGAGAGCATAAGTGCAATTCGTCGTTCTACGCAGGAAGGGGGCTCCAGACTGGGGTTCAAATAAGCATTCATATGTACCCGTGGTAAAATATCAAAATCTGCCCTCCGAAGACGGTCAATGAGGGTGGCCTTTGTCCATGCTACGGGCTGGGATGGATTACTCGATGAAAGACTTGATGTGTCCATGGAGAGCGAGGAGAGGGCATTGGTAGTGTCGGAGATAGCAACTGCAGCAGTCGTATCGGAAATCGGTTGTGGCTCCGAAGAAGGAAGAGGTCCAGAGGAGTTGGAAATGTGCAGATTGGGTTGTGAATTAGCCTTTGACATTGAAGAGGGCGCATCTTCGGACGCAGAAAGTACTTCGATGCAACTGTAGATGTTGGGGGTGACTTCGTCTTGATTTCCTTTTGCTTCTGTGTGACCCTCCGTTTCTCTGTAAATTAAGAGGCTGTTAAATTCGCTGGAATACCTTGAGACTTAGGGTATTTGTTAAAATTATGCGATACATTTCTAAAGGCATAATTTTCCACCGTTCACTAACATGAATAAAGTCGCTTCATTGAATAGCTATTGTAAACAAATGCTTAGGTTGCCTACATTTAAGCAATTTTAAGCAAAATCGAATCACAGGATCAAAAATTAATCATTGGATTTCCTGGCCGATAACGGAGATGAACAGCCAACAATTCTAAAGTACATCTAGTTATAAATAAGAGAGAAGCTCAAAAAGTTTACTGAATAAAATCACAACGCGAAAACCCTCGAAATTGAGGATGATTTTTTTGGAAAAGAATGATAAAGCATAATAACATCTGATGTTAATGTTAAAAGCTGTCTAAAATGTGCAAAGGCGAAAATATACATGGATAAGATTTTTACCCACCGCTACACAAAAAAAACTTACGGGACAAGGAACCTAGACGCACAGTTCCGGAACAATGACTTGCTTAGTGTTGCAAGATTAAGTTCATCAAGTGTCGATATCGGTACAGAATCGATGGCAGGAGGAGCAGACTTGAACCAGTTTTACAAAAAAAACAGACTTACCCATTTGTTGATTTCATTAAGCAATTCAGGAAACCGAAAAGACGTCATAAAAGTCCCATAATGTTCATGCCTAAACAGTAAGGAGGTAGCAGCAGATTACTTATCCATGTGAAGAACAGAGTGACCAGTAATAGCCAAACTGGCAGCAATCATCGATTCTGCAAGCCCTAAAATAAAAAAAATCAAAAGTGCAAGGACGAGGTGTCAAAGCACCAAATATATAGAAAATGAGATTGGCCAGTTTCTGCACCAAGCAAACTTGTTTAATAAAAGCATACACACTTAAAATTCGTTGCAATTGGAGGAGTATGGTCTAAATGAGGAAAAAAATTGGTTTAATAATCGATGGTTCGTACGAGATGGCAATTTGGGTATAGAAGGACGTGCAGACAATTAATAAAATAACAGGCAAATCAGCCAGTGACACTACAGGTTGCAACATAAAGGCGCCATCAACAAATCTACAAAACCTTCACGAAATTATTAAGACATACGAACATTATCCACGAAAGTCAGGCAACACCGTAAAATGCTGCAGCCAATAACTGAAATTAACAAAGCACACCACCGAAATATTAAGTCACTATTAACGTACCTGTTCCAACGATTACGTAATCCACGTCGTTAGGAAAATCCATATTATTTTGTGGAATAAATAACAAAAAGAAGTAAAAAAGTGATTGGTCAACTAATGGGTTCAAGTCGGGCAATTTAATTTTGACCTCGTATAACAAAAGAATGTTAATTTTTTGTTTTTCTTTTTTTCTGTTTTAGAGCCATTATATGCTTAAGATTACATTTAAAAGCAAAGGTATTGTAACTATTAATGACAATTTTTCGAATCTCGTACGTCGTTAAAAATCTTGAACGACGTACGAGATTCAAAAATTTTTAGTCAAGACTCTCCAAGCTACTGTGGTCGTGGGTAATTGGCAATGCTAAAGAGGATCTGAAGTAACATCCAACTGACTTCAGGAATCCTTTGATTGTCTGATGTATTATTCTAATTAGAAAATTCAGTTCCACAAGACTTTAATTCCTTTTTATGATTTCTCATATTTTTTGTATCAGTATGAATTGCGGGGAACTTTTTGCTAATAATAACAATAATAATATAAGTGGATCAACTCAATATAACAATATTTGACTAATTTTGCACAAGTACAAATATTGTGAACGGAAGCGGCTTAATATAGGGAAATGTAAAGTTTTACACAATTGCTATTTACGTGTGGGTCGTGTGCTTCATATTTGTAATTAAACAACATTAATAAATATGAGGTTGATTGATTTCAGTGTATATTCCATCTCTTAAATATACCGTTAGTCTATGCTGGTATCCTGAGATAATTTAAGTGATCAGACGTTTTTAGAAAAAAAATTTCTTCCTTTAACGAAAGTAGCACTTCGATTTACGGAACTTGTTGTATAATGGTTAGAGTCACGTATGATAAATAAAATTATACAATATCTAAGTTAACGTATGTAAATCGAATTTACAATACAGTGTTCAGAATAGAGTCAGATTTTTAAAAAAGGAATTTAAATGTAGCTGATGTAGAGCAAATAATAGAATTTATTAAATAATAATTGGCCTTATCCTTGTTTAAGCACATGCCAATTGTGTAAAGCTATTTACCAACATTCTATACAAATGCTTATTTAGGTTCAAAACGAAGAAGAAGGAACAAAGGTAAACTGTTAAAAAAATTATACTGAGTACCCTTAATGTCTTTAGACTTAAGAAGTGAGGGTTAGTTCAATCTAGATTAGGTAGCATTGAGAATGACTAAAAATTTTGGAATAAGTTATTAAGCAACACGATTATTTTATATATGTTAGTGTTAAGTAAATTAACAAGACAAGTAAAATTACTCATTTAGTAAGCTTGATAGTTAAGAGCGGTTTTATGAAGTGTTGACTTGTAGTACCGGGAAGAATTGATGTTTAGTTCATTCACTCAGTGGATGTTGGAAGTAAAGCAGATTAACCTTGCAAATACATTTGTGCAGAACCAAGTTTGCAGGATAATACTGATTCGCAGTAATTTTTTTTAAATTTGTAGAACCGTTGTCCAGAAATTCTATACGTGTTAATCGTTAATTCCCGTAAAATTGAAATACGAATGAAGTATTATCTTTTCCTTGATTTTTAAAGGAAAATTCTTTTAGAAACCCGAAATAGACCGAAAAGTCTTCAAAAAGTGAGAAAAACGTATGTAGGATATCAGATTTAAATCTACTTATGGACATAGCTGTAAGCGTAGAGTCCAGTCAATAAACTAAACCACAGATGGATTTCCACACATCTCAACTGCAACTCTGTTGAAAGTTGCCTTAAATCTCTGGAAACGATATTTTAAAACTGTCTGTTTTCTCCAACACTTTGTTTTGCCCGCAGATCATAATCCATGGGCACGTTGCAATTTATGGCTTGCTCCAAAAGGCGTATTAGTGTAAAACGGTAGCAGAGGGCTCAAGCTTAAAACGAAGTAAGCCCGAGCGGACCAATGAGCCACCCCTTTTGTTACTGGCCTCTGTTAGCACCCGCCTGTCACGCACGCGTACTCATACATACATAAAGCCACTTTGCTGTTTTGACACCAATAAACCGGCCGTGTCCGCTCTCGCCTCTTCTCCACTCTACTCGAGTTGTCTTGGGCTGTTAATTAGAGGATTGTAAGCTAGTGCTGTCTCTAGCCACTACAAGCCTTTGGTTGTTTCCTTGTTTGTAGAAGTGATGAGTGTCTAGTATTCATCGATGGACGACTTCCCTTTGTAACAACATTTTCTTTTCTCCCCCTCCTATAGTTCCGTCACTTTAATGGTCATTTACTATTTTTTTGCTTAATCTGCTTGGAAAAATAAATCTTTTACCCGAAGCCGTATCAGCCACTCGGGTGGTAAGAAAATCAATTTCGTTAATCTCCAGTAAACAAGCACTTGAAAACGAATAAGTCAGATCACCTTTTTTACATTGTAACAAAATTAATACAATGGGATTACCCAAGAATGGCAACTGTATAATTTTTGTCTAATCTTCGATTTTGCCTTTACACGTTTATGGTTTGTCCTGTAGGGTTGGGGAGGCCAGCTGCGTTTATGTTTCTTTTTGACAGCAACCCCTGAACCGGGATCAAGGTAATCGAAACCGACGCTTCAAAGCTTCCTCATGCTTTTGGAACTTTGGTTGCGAGTGATGAGTGTACCAGCGCCTATAACTATGTGCATTACACAGTAACCGGTGATGGCTAATTAAGACAAACAAATGGCTTTTACGTTGGGACGAATCTAGATTTCTGTTCGGCGTTGTTTCAGGAGTTAGGTACAATGTACCTGCACTCACTGGGTTCGCAAATGAGCAACTGCAGCAGAAGACAGCTTAGGCTTTTTGAGTTCATGGCATCAAAGCTAAAATTGAAGACTGTGTTACGTTTGCCCGTAACAAAAGAGAGAAGACCACTCAAATAACGATACCAGATCCCTTGCTGAAAGCTAGAACCGACCTTCCCAGGCTAATACAAGAAAAAGACGAGAGCTGGTGCAGAGAGCTTTATTCACGTGAGCCACGTGCAGAGAAGAAGTGAAATCGAAAGTGAAAAACGAAACTAATTCAAGTTAAGGTTGACCTTGATTTGATAAAAGGGTAACAAAACAACTGTTAATAAATTAATGTGAATAGAATCAGAAACCAATCTTTGGGAATCGTGGATCCCCAACAGACTGCTTATGTGTTGACAACGCCAAAATAAAGCCTTGACTACTACATTTAAGCTTTGCAGTTTCTGTGTTGTTCGAAGTCTAATTTGGTATGCATTGCATTATTATGTTCCACACTTTAACATATTTTAATTCCACCAAAGTTCAGCATTTCTATTGCGAAATCCAACCATATCCACGAAGACGACAAAGAACCTCGATTCTTTCACCATTTCGAATAACTACAAACGAATATACAACTAGCTTTTGCAAATTTGGTCCGTACTGCGTACCCTGAAAGCGACTGTGCCCAAAAGAATATAAGAACAACGATAATAGTCTACCTCATATTCTGCAGCCGAGGTCGCGGAGCGATGAACTTCTATAAAACTAAGGGAAAAACGACAACACATAAGCAAGTTGCAGTTTGATTGGTCTACTCTGTTTTCTATAACACCAAGGTTAGTGGGCAAAATATTGTGATAATCGATGATGACGGCGATAATGATGATGAGGAATCAGTTAGAACAGCGCTGTTTCTGAGATAATGAGGACGAGACTGCGAGGCCGCTGTCTTCGGCTGCAGAGGGGACAGAAGTAGCTAGCGAGGGTTTAACCGTGGAACGTCTGCTGTGCCCGCTGTGTTGGTTGGCGAGAACCACTCGGAGAACGGCGGAGTAGTCATCGGAACGAAGAAAGCGCACGTATGAATCCGATTTCATTAACTTGTAGATGTGCTGTTTCGCTTCCAGGAAAACAAACCATGAGGGATTCTAAACAAAAACATGCGGCATCAGTCAACAGCTCCTCGACTAGTTGCTCGAGTTTGAAGTTCAGCATCACAGCATTTGATGCGGGTAACAGATCCACAATAAACAACATACCTCACCACTTCTGAAACGTTCTGCTTTGACCATGCATTGAAAACCAACCATACTTCCAGTAATTTAAACAAAAACGTAATGTAACTTCTTTTCACTGTATGTTGGTTAGGTAAAAACGCGGGGTCAGAATGTGGATTTCCCCCCCACAAAAAATAAACTAGACCAATAACCTTTACGGCCTCGGCCGTTGCTGCACGTGTGGTGCAGTCTATGTTGATTTCGGACGGGGCGTTTGGTGCGAGGAATTCATCAAAAATGCGCTTTCCCGCCGCCCTGAGATTCGATATGGGGGTGAATTGGTAGGCATTCACTGTGAGCCAAAAACGGAGATTTTCCGAGCTGAATTCCTTTTCGAGGAAGGCCTTGAAGGCTTGGCAACCTTTTGGGTCCCAGAGGAGGTTGTCAAAACTTGTCGCCCAAAGACGCACCTACGAAAATAAATATTTCCTCTTACAGAGAATTAAGAAATGATGGGAGTGCATACGGAGTGAATACTGGGCCGTTGTTCCAGATGCCATCAGTAATTAGCATGGCTGTGTTGAGATATTCATGTTTCATGCATAGTAAACAGCACACGTCCCCCAATTGACCATAGAGAGAAGATTATTTAATAAAGCTGAAGGAAACGGTGCCCATTAAACTGGTAAAATACTTGATGATAAATTTTGAGGCCCTTGAGTGTGCAAAAAGGCATGGGGAAAAGTCAGCGGACAAATTGCTGTTGTGAGGATCCTTTCGAAAGGAAGAGAGAAATGGCTAAAACGGATCAAAGTAGCTATACAAATCTGCAAAAATATTGCCAAAGCACACTAGCCAATCTTGTGGAGCTTGATGAGTGCCGATAAGCTACTAACTTCGCACTGATGTAGACGTGGACAACCCCAGCGTTGCTTTTGAAAGACAACGTGGAGGAGAAGCAAGGTCCATTAGAGGTAAATGCTACAAATTACTCAGGCAAGCTGTCTGTCGAAGAGCAATGTATCATTGAGCATTCAGTTAATTAAGCAAAATGGTTAATTGTGTACGAATTACTACCTTGTCATCTTTCTGTCTAAACTACTAAGGAAACCGGTCACGTAGGGGGAAACCTATTTGTTTCTATACATTTTATTTGGTTTGGCTTTAAATGAACGCATCGTCTCATCAGCCACATTGGAAGTTCACCGCTGGTCATTTAGTGTGCACTTGCCTGATTTACCGTGGGATAGGGAGTGGATTCAGTGACAGTACCACTACTGCTGATGCTGAGACGGGACCCGAGAGGAAATGAGGTGAGCAGCGAGTCACAGGTGGGAAGAGTGACCAGTGGCTGACACGGCGACTGCTCAATGCTTCCTGGCTGACTCAACCAAGCAGTGGCTGACATCGTGGAGCTGGAACTATGCAAGTCGCTGAGAAACCAATCGTAGGAGCTTCTGTTAGCTGTGAACAGCAGGATATTTTCAGTGGATTTCTTGTTGCTTATGCGTAAATGAGAATGAGATTGCAGCGGTGGTGGCTGCTGTCTACACTGCTGCTGTCTGGCCAAAAGGCAAGAATCGGATGGGCGGTGCTGAACTATAAAAAGTTATAGATGCAAGTTTAATCTGATACAAATTTCCCAGATTCAGTAAAAATTATTTCAACAAGAGTTTGGGAATCGCTCATGTAAGAAAATTTGTAAATGTTCAATCATCGTGTAGTTGAAAGTTAAATTTTACAGAAAATGAAATTTTACTGCTGATATTCGTAAAGGAATAAGTGGTTTGTTGATGAAACAACATTCTCTAAGCTGTATTACTTAAGCTGGCTTGAGTCGAAATTGTTGGTAAGCAACAGCGTTTGGTGAGGATCGGACGTTAATTCGCATAGGTAGGCTAGTTAAAAGTACCTGGTTACGAAACTCGGAAATTCTGCCAGCAAATGCGTCATAAACTCAGGAAGAAGGCAAGAATAAAAATTTGCGTCTTAATGACTTCGGCAAGGTACCTTTAAAAAAGGGAATTTTAGATATGCAAAGACAAGTTCCACCTTTACTAACAGGATTTGGCATACGCTTTAATGTAATTTTTTTAAATAGCACTTAATTGCACATATCTTGAAAAAAAACATTAAAAGGATGCTAATCCTGATGGCAAAACTAAAAAACACGCATATTCTTATGAAAAGATCATAACCAATTTGGTTTACACATTCGATCCCTGTTTAACAAGATATTCACATGCGCTCTCCTCCAAGACAATGACCGTCGATTCACAAGTCCGTTACGTGGTAGACCCTCTTTAAAACAGCTAAGCCTGCTTGGCGGTGGGTGGTGAACGCGCCAAAACGCCCTCTCCTACAGCATAAATATAAATTGCAGTCAGCGCAAAAAACTTTTTGATTTAGCAATAATAATCTTATTGGGAACATGCTAGAGAGCAGCAAACAATACGCGAAAGAAACCATAAAAAAGTGATGTAAGGGAGCTAAGTGATGAACGGCAAAATGATAATGTAATATAGCAATTATCTCACTATGCAATTGGCCAAAAAATTTGTTGACATATCTATATCAACAAAGGCACCAACCTGTGCTTCAAGAACTATTTGATCACTTTTGCGCTTGTCCTTATAAAGCCTCATTTGGTCAGCAGCTTGCATGCAAATAAATTCCCACTTCTGTGCGAGCATATTTTGCAATCGATGTAAGGCTGATTGTTCATAATCCTCGAGGGCATACTTCGGGCGTTTGCGCAAAGTACGCTTTACCAAGTAAATAGCATAGTCCATTGGATCAGGTTTAGGGGTTTTGGAAATCCAATAATATGGTGCCTTCACAATTCGTGCGAGAAAAAGATTATTGTACCTGAAACCTATAAAAGGCGGTTGGGTCATCTTTGACCAGGGAAGACTTGTAATCAGTCAACGGATATACGTAACCATATAGCAGCAAAACATTTGCAATATGTGAGGCCTCCTGGGAATCTTCGATTCTCAGGTGATTTTCAATCCAAGAAATTAGGTTGTCTCCAGAAACTGCAGCAGGAATAGTTGTAAGAAAAACTTTTTGAGATCTGTAAGGAGGATTAAAACTGTTAGAATGCATACTTAAAGTTTATTCCTGTTTCGGTTTCCTGCATGGCTTCAATTAAATCTTCCATTTTCCTTATTTCATCATGCGTTTCCACTTGTTTCAATTCCGCAAATATATTTTCTAGGGACATCACAATGAATACTAAATTCGCTGCGGCCTAAGGACCATTAAAATTACTCTAATCAAACAATAAGGTCAAAAAGGCAGCCCCACAAGGAAAAAACTTGGTGCTGGCACATGTCGCTGAATTTAGTTAGGCTAAATGTTTTTAATCATTTTACAAAGTGTCCATGTAATTTTAGCGTACACCCATTTTTTTTTGCAGACATGCTGATATAGGGATAGTGAAAAAACAAGTATAAATGAATTTATCTGGTATGCATGAAAATGAGCCCGGGAAAATTACAAAAAAAAATTTATTGCAAAAAACGCCTCCATGAAGGAACGATAGCAGCTTTTCTACAGGCTGTTCCACCTTCGACTCACCGGCATTAATTATTTAAATTCTAAATAAGGTCAGAAACGAACTTTGCTTTCGAGAACTTAGCTTTTTCATGAATTGATAGCTAATTGTATTCATTTTCAAGCTTGTTACATTTCCTATAAAGTATTAACTGTTCTTCTACTGCGTCAACATTTGACAGCATAAAATGAGTATTTAGGTTTACAAACAAAATTAAAACAATTGTGTGATAGAACCTAGATGCTTTGACCTAATTGTTGCCAAAAGCCGGCATGGATGAAAGGCAAAGCTGAGTAAATTCAAATGAAAATGTGAACAATTGTGACAAAATCAAGACATCATCTGTGACCATATTTGTAAAATGAGGGTGCGAACACAGATATTATTAAATGGCTTTTCTGCACTTAATAGGAATTTTGAAACGAGAATATTCCCTTAACACTGATCTTTCAAAGCAATTATTATGTTTTGAATTTCAATGCTTTTTGGGGCAGTATAATCATTGAATTTTGGTAAATTAAACAGTTATCTTGCAGTAGAAACGTCTGTTTTATCCTTTTACTTCGTACTACACTTTGTCGTTCAAATGAATGAGCATGAATTAAAATTAACCAGTAACGTTTGGATTTACGGACGGTTAATGCGGTAATTTGATTGTTGTAATTTGCTGCTATTTTATTTCCTGGCCCGCTTCCTGATGTTAGTTTGTCTTTTTATGCAGGATTTGTTGTGGTTTAGGTAATATGCTTGCACATGACAGCAACGTCTTTGCTTCACTTCATCTTTGTAATCGTAAATACATGTTGTATCGTTGAGCTTTCGCTTTTTGAAACAATTATATTGAATATAGAACTACTGACAATTGATCTTAGCCCCTCATATTCCATGTAACAAGCAAAAAATTTTTTCAAGGTATGTGTTGTAACACTTTTTGGTTGAGTTCATCTTTTGCGCTTAACGTTTTGAATGTCCAGAAATCATTTTCATACGCCCCTTGAGAATAGTGAACGTCACTCGCTTCGCCTTGTTAATAATGCACATTATTGAATTTAATTTAGAGGCCACTTTCTGGGCAAAAGTTTCTTTGTGTGTTCCCAATAAGCCTGGTTGATTTTGCCTCATAGTCTCGTGCTTATTATCCTCACTTATTTGCCTCTAGATGGTGTCAACTCCGCCTACTAGTTTAAACGGCTCTCCCAAAGCACTTAGAGAGCATCACTTTACCCAGAATCCTCTTCACTATACTCAACGTTTGTCGCGTGGATTAGAGCAGAGGCTTACGGATATTTCTGACGAAGATATATCCGACGAAGAGCGACGTTTGTCCCTCTCGATTACGACTGGGAATTTGAACAAATGGACAAACATGCTTCATGGTTGGCAAGAGCGTTACTTCGTGCTTAAAGATGGTGTCTTGAGTTATTTTCGAAACTCTGACGACGTTGCTGAAGGCTGTCGTGGTGCTATTCGTCTCAAGAATGCACAAGTTCAGCCTCATCCTTATGATGATTGTCGAATCGATGTAAGTAGATGCCACCTGTTACTCATGGTTGTTTTTAAGGTGTCCGTGCTGTTGATTCGTGTGTGCATTTAATTTATGAGGCATCCACAATGTCCTTCATCTATTTGAAAAAAAATTGACCAATTTAACCTCATTATTAAAACTGCTGATAGTATTAGCCATCCCAGACATTTTTTCTTTGCTGACATTTTTCTGGCATAATTTGCAAATGACACAAAAGAATCGGTTCTCATTTTATTGTTCCAAAATCCTTTTCAATTAATTCATGTTTTGCAACATCAAGCCGGGTAGTGAAATTATCGTTACTTTCCGAGTGTTTAATAGCAAATGTTTGATTTACGATGTAGATTGCAATTATAATTCCGTGCAAAGTATTCTTGGTGAATCGTGACACATCATCATACTTTTACAGATTTTTTGTATAAATTCAATTCAAATTTCCCTTTTTCCTCACCAGAGTGATGCACGTAGCGACCCTTTACTACTATTTATTTCATTCTTATGTTAAAACGATTGGCGTGCACATTTTGTAATGGCATTATGATCCATTTACACATATCTCCTTGAAATCCAATCTGTTTATTGAAACATTTGAAATAAAATTGCATGAAATTCGGGATGTCTCTACTTATCGTAACGTGTTTACATATAACCTTATTAACACTAATCTCGTTAGTTTTCTTCATTTTAACCTAACGTGGTGAACAACTGCCAGTCCACTTTTTGTGTCGAATTACTTTGTAAACTGTAGTTTATTTGTTTTGAGTTCAAGCATTTGGCTTCCTCTAGCTCCCTTCATTTCTAACCTTTGTTCTGCAACTTTAATACAAAGGTCATTCTTGGAGACTCGACTTGGTATTTCCGTTGTCCCTCCGCCCAATCACGACGTCACTGGGTGGAATGCATCGAGAAACACAGACTCGCGGAATCGGGATACAGCTCTGAGCAGGCCTTGACCACCCAGAGCTCCTTGCTTTCCCTCAATTCAATCACCTCCACGTCGAACGCTGGAAGCTCTAATGGGTTCCGTGGACAAAGTCTTCATGATCAGGTGGCAGAGATTGAGAGCTTCAAGTACGTTCACTCGGTATTCCAGATTAACTCGTCTGAAGCTCCTGCTTGTGTGAGGGGCATTGTAATTAAGCTCAGTTTAAATTAATTTAGCTCCGTGAACTTCCAAAAACTAATCACACGTCACGTTGCCCACACCAAGTTGAGCACCAATGCTCCTTACTAGTCTGTGAAACATGTCCACTCAACTTCGCAACTTCAACTATGAGGTTAATTTCAAGGTAGCCATTTCTTGGAGGAATCCAGTATGTGAAACGAGTGTATGGTGTATTATTCTTGGGACTTGCAACAAAGCGTGTGTCTAAGGTTGACTTTAAATCTATCTTTTCAAATAGAACTGCAATGTTATGCCTTCATTTTTAAAGCCATCGGTGCTGACCTGTTGAGCAGTCTCTATTACCTTCGAGGTGCAAAATCTCGAGTCCCTTGCTTCCGTATTCTGTCGGGATTTTGATAAATCCACAATGAACTTTATTGTGTTTTGATCAGATTGTGGCAGAGTACCTCGACCTTTACCTTCGAATCGTTTGCGCTGACCTGGGCCGTGTTGTTTGGTGCTAATCGAGTTTGGCAGTACTGTCACGTTTAGCGCGGCTGCAGCCCAGTTTTCAGATACGGGTAGCGAGTGAGTAGCCCTCTGCCAGTGTGAGTTCGCGTTTACGCGGAGAAGATGAGTCTTGAGCATAAAACTGCGGTTGTTCCCCATCTTAGGGCCTTCACAAACTCTAAAGTTATTGTCACAAATTACGAAAACCTTTGTAAATTTTGCACCGAGAATGTCCACAGCCGCCAAGTTTGCATTTAAGATTCCATGAGAGCTTTGTTTTGCTGGTGTGTGTCGCAGAGCTTGCCTTTATCATCTATTTTGTTAAATCTCCACGCAAAACCTACCTTCTAGTGATGAGATTGACAGTAACCCAAACGATAATGTAAGTGCCTCCCCTAGGCTTCGAGCTTCAGGGTATCCACAGCAATATATGCGTGTGCCGCATCGACATAATTCGCCCTTCGAACAGTTCTTGGGTCTCCCAATTTCACATGGAACCTAAGACATTTGGGAGCTGGCCGACACCCCATCTCCCACACATTCACGACTTTCCCTCGGGTTTGGACGGTGCTAAAGTCCTTTTTGGGGCCACACATTCTCCGGGCTAATCACCAAACACCCATTAACTTTGAGCAATACGTGCCTTTTTTATTTTGTTACAACCCAGACTTCAGATTTCGCCTTTGTTCATGGTGATGCTATTTTTGTCGCCAGCAAGGACAACGACAAATATTTAGTGCATCTACAATATGCGTTCGCTTGTCTTAAGGCCTATGGCATTACAGAAACACGTTTGCAAACGTGCTTTCGAAGTGACCAGCCTTAGGTTCCTCGGTTACTAACTTGATATCAGACAGCAAGAGCTTGACGGTCGTATTGAGCCATCATCGCTCTTTTCCCAAATACCTCACCTAATTCAAATCCGTTACAGCACATTCTTGAGAGGACTTGTAGCAAGTGATTTTGCTGTAAAAGAACCCCACAATCTATAGCAAGAACACAAGTTAACCACTTTTCACGATCTATGATCTTTTCAATTATGCTTTCCGCGCAGCACCTGACCGTCACTTCCCACGCGAGTGCTGACAATTCATAGCCAAAATCCGTCGCGTTGGTGGGACGGACAACGTCGTGGCCGGCGCACTCTCTCGGGCACGTAATCATCCTTTTTCAGTTCCTGGCATAGAATTTGAGCAAAAATGAAGTCTAACTCTGGAAGAGCTGCCCCTGCCTCACTGTCCCGCGCAAAATTATGTACCATAAGCCAACTGGCAAATTTCGCCTTTTCGTGAATATTGGAACGTTTTCTCTCGATTTCACATCGCGGCTTTTGCCCCACAGTGCGTCCTGCAACAGATCGCTTTGTTTGGTCTGGATTTCGCGTTTATAGGCCAAACTGTTTTCGATGTCTGCGCACCAAAGTACATCGACACAATATGTCAGAACCTGGACAATTTTTCCTCCTAGACGCGCATTTACAATATGTGCATTTAGACTTAGTTGGATCTCTTCCGCCGTCTCGTGGTTTCACCTAAGTGGTCCGTTTTATCCGTTAGCGCATATTAGTCCCCATTAAAGACGGTTTAACCAATACCTTTACCCTTGCGGTTATGGTATCGTGGGTGTCCTTATTCGGTATTCCTAATTCGATTACCCCTGGTCGTGGTACATATCTTGTTTGTTTCAAGGTGTATACCACCTCCTTGCATGCAAACACTTTCTTACTACAGCCCATCGCCCAGCATTTAAATCAGGTTCAATAAAAGCCGCATCTGCCAAGTGATTGGACGCGTTACCGTTGACCTTTTTTACTATTAACATCACGGTGAAAGACGACATCAACACCATTCGTGCTCAGCTTTTCTGGTAAAATTCTGCCTCTCAATTCCCTTCGTCGTCGTACGTGGATCAGTTGAAGTGTTTTGTGAAGGAACTTCGGCTCACCCCAACGGGTTCCCTTAGCCAAATTCGTTTGGGTCTCCTCTTGTCTTTGTTCGTGTCAATGGCGTCTAGATGCCCTTCCACGCACCTTACGATGGCCTCTTCACTCAGACAAACATTTCACGATTGGTAGAAATTGATCGCAAGTGGACTCCAAAGACCCACTTTCCCTCTTTGTCGATACGATGCGAAAAATTTCGGGCATTTGGCGTGTCCCATAGCCAACACTCTCGGCGGATGGGGCGAATATTTGTGTGGGACCGTCAGCGAATTCACGTCAGTTGTGCTTATTCACATGCTGATCAGTGTCAGACTCACAAGTACGTTCCATCAGCACACCCACGCACCGTCGTACAAAGGCACACTTGTCTGGCTTGACACGAGCCACCGTTTCTCCCCGGGTCGTCACCTCTCTTGTCTCTCTGTTCACGGGTTGTTACGGTCTGTTAATTAGCCAGTGTGTGTGAGTTGGTGCAATCAAATACTACATACCCATCTTAGGGTCACAAGGGCACTCGCAAAAATGACTTCGGCTCAGTCTACTTGATATTTAAATTTAGTTTCACCATCGCTGAACTGACGTGTTTTCCAAACACACTATTAATCGAGAAGTGTTTAGTAGGGATTAGCCGTGTTCTCCACCACTATTCAATTTCCCCTGTGCCTGATGCAGCCCCAACAGAAATGGAGGCAAAAAGTGGTGTATTAGAATGTGCGTCATTAATTTTTTTGCTCTGGGTAGACCAAATCTCCGTTTTTTTATGCCTTTTTGACGGCTTATTGTGCACCACAAGTGCACTGGCGTCCTCTTCACTGTTTGTGCACCGAACCCACCTGCCTGTGGGCGGGCTTCTAACCGCGTTGGTGACACCACATTGAGGGTGGTGGTGGTTGGTGGTGGTGGTGGTGGTGGAAAATTGCAGCAGACTTCCGCTTTCAGTCATGTGACACATCCTCTCCGCGCTGCGATACGTGACTTCGTGATGATTCTGCTGTCCGAATCGTCAAGCTCGGCTATCACACACACACACACAAACACCACTTAATAGCAGTCATTAAGGTATAGATTGGTGATGCTGCCGTAGACAGCTTACTACCCACTACATATTTTGATGTTGTTCCTGTCACATGTTAGTGTCAGTAATTAATTCCCTTTCCAAGCGCCTAATTGAATTGTCGACGACGCTACTGACGTTGCTTTCGTCGTCCAATAAAAAAAGCATAACTATTCGCTATTGGCGTCACATTCGTGTGTAGTGATCGGAAATTCAATTGTTGGATGTGTCTAACCCCCTCGGCACTGGTGGGTAGCGTGTCGGGTACCTTGTGATCGAGCTAATCACCCATTCAAAATGCACTCTGTCACATCCTATTGAGCGGTTGTGAGTGTCAAAGATGCGGTTTAGCCAAGGTGCACGCGTTACAGGTTCTTGGCACCGACAACAACGCGTGGCTTTGTTTCCGAGGTTCCTGCTATTCTGCAATTGGAATTGTTGGGTGTGTTGTGTTTACCGGAGCTGCTTCTGGGATATTTGGGTCATTTTACGCGGTAAATTGTTAGTTAAACTGCAAAGGCTCCGTAGTTTTCCGCTTAGTAGACCATCTTGCTTCGATTTTGTCAGCTTGTAAGGCCTTTTTTTTTCAAACAGGCCAGTTTTGTGTTCTTTGAATCCGATGTAAGGAGACCACCTGGTAACCTAGAGGTACATGTTTAACCTTATTGAGGCGGTTTTCTTCGCCGCAAGTTGTTTTGCAAATCTTCGTACCAGCACCTTTTCGACCAACAGGTTGTCGCCACTTCCGATGTCCGGGTTGGTTGTGCGCAAGCCAAGCCCCCCGTTTCACTTTAATGTGCCAATCCATGTGTTATAGGCCCCAGCATGTGGTCTTGAACCACGCCGGGGCCACGGAATTAACCCTAGCCCGATTACGTTTCCCTGATGCCCGCGATGAAGAAAAAGATCGGCGAGGACGTGGACACAACCGTTTACTTCAGAGCTCAACCACGTTGCTGTCGTTGTGACGTGTGTGGGATTTGCGCGTGTGTAGTTATACCTCAGATTTGTGAGTCACACCTGCGCTAACATCGAGACCTAGGTATGGGGATAATCCAAGATAAATATCCGTGTGGATGAGGGGAGAGTTGAGGATCCGCGCGGCTGACGACATGCTGCGAAAAGGGGAACCCTGTGTCGGAGGTGGAGCGGCCGGTTTAAGTGACGTGAATAAACGCGATTCACATAATATCTGACGGCACCTGCCATTCCATTGTGTCGCAAGTCGAGGCGAATTTCGGCAAAATCTTTCCGTCATCATTATTCTAATTGGGCGGCAAATCACTCCGTGGCACCATCACACATGCAATTTCGTTGATTTGACGTGGTGCCACAAACGCGGGAGTGATTCTGGAATGCCACACCAAAATTTGGCTCGCACTTTAAGTGTGGACGGTTCACGCGGCACTAATTAATTCACCAAAAACGACCCACTGTATGCCGTTTGTGAGTTCTAAACCTATGTTAGATTAGTAGACTTGACGGAAAAACCGGAAATAATGCATCACCGTCCCAAATGTGTCCACATCTAGCAAGGGTCAATCGAATCCTAACCGTTTCGCGTTTGCATCACTGCTTAGCCCTCCGCCTGCCTTGATTGACGGCTTCTTATGCTGTTATGTGTGCCTCTCGGTTGACCTAATACTTTTTTTTCCACGAATTTGCATTCTTCCTCCCACACAACCAGCAAAAACCTCTTGAGAAAATGCTGTAAAATGGTGTTCGCACGGCATGCTGCGAATGTGATTCCTCAAAATACGTACAACCAGAATGGTCTGCCTAATTCCTTTAGCGATTATTTTGCTAAAAAGACCGGTTTTGTAGTAATCCGTTAACGAATCAAGTTATGGTTGCTTTAAAAATGCCTGTCGCTGTTAACTTAAAGTGGCTCAAATGCTTAGTTATCTGTGATTGTGGTCTGAGTTCGTGTAGAAATCATAATTGTGCAGTTTTTTCATACTTCCTAAACGGTCCATGACAAAAGTACACCTTAGATGCATAAGGTGTTGCCTTGTGCACTTTTGTACTTCTAAACCATTCTTTGTAGTCAGATTAATTCGCCTCAATTTTAAACTAAAACAGGCCTTGTCCACGTTATGTCCGATTGAAGCCAGTTTACACGGCATTGATATGACTTGCTGGACCTCAACCGGCGCTAAATGCTACGCGTTGTTTTGAAAAGCTTACGCACAGGTTCTCTTGCTCGGAGTTAAAAATTTGTTATCACGCGACAACGCCAGAATACTTCGTGCCTGAATGAACTGAGTTAGATGCAGCCCGACTGTGTCGCCGCCATAACCTTCACTGTGATTTTCCGCGTTTGTACTTTTTTTTGAATTTAGCCCTCCTCTCTTTCCTTAATCATATCTTTGAAACCTTCCCGCCATCTGTGGTGTTGACAGTAAACAAAACTCGCATCCCGGGTTGACGCCTTGTTAAAGTACCTTGTGACACCTGTCTTGCTACACACACACACACGACACACGCGTTCCTGCCTGGCTCACACACAGCCTACTCTCGTGATTTCAGAACTGTACTTCACCAGCAAACCGAAAAGCTGTTGGCCTACTTGGAGGCGTGCAACAGAATCGCAGCTCACGCCAACGAGGTCGGCGGCTATGAGAATCTCCTCGATGCGGCAGTCTTTGAAGAGGCGCGTTCGCAACTCCCGAGGGACCTGAGAGCCGTCACGACCAAATTCAGCACCACCACCACCACCACGCCACAGCCGAGCTTCGAGGAGTCTGACGAGGACCTGGACGATCGGTGCTCTCTTGCGTCGGATAATGTAAGTTTACACCCCTTTTACACCCCTTTTGCCTTTTTACACCCCTTTTTGTCCAATAAGAAGCTCTTGGCATCGTTTAGTTGTCCGGGCAATTTCGGAGACCCAACGACACCCCAGGCTGAGGTTGTTTTCGCAACTGCAACCTGCCAAGATTTCTCATGTAGTTCTGTCTGCATCAAGTTACAAATAGCACTCTTACTTGGTAGACCGTGTTTGTTATTATTACAAAAAAATGACAAAAAATCTCGACCCTGCAACCAAAAGGCATTCTCAGAGCTTGTTAACCCTGCTGGTTTAGAGTGCGCGTAAATTGTATACTAAGGTAAGAGTGCAGATTATGTGTTAATGGCGTGCTGAGGTGGGTAAGACTAAGGCGCTAGAAACCAAACATCTGCGCTCACGCCGGTGCAGCCTGTTCTGACTCCGAAGGTGGTTTGTTGAATTTTTCACCATGGTTCTCTACCGTCGTAAACACCATGCGTTGTCCTGGCAACGCATTGTTCGATTCAACTCCCACCGTACGCCCACTAGTCTGCTGTCATATGGTCGTCGCTTGGTGAGAGGCACCCAATCCCCTCCGACCCTCGCAAACCCCTTGTTATTTTTGTTGTGTGTCCTCTGCCTCACCTGTTCACAGTCTCAAATTTGGTACATTTTTGCCAGTACCGAATTTAAAGGCGGTCACAGAATGGGCCTGAAGAAGCGCATGCCCACTAAATCACTACAATGGATTTTGGTTCATGTGGAGATGGCATTTTATGTTTGTGATTTGTAAGACCACACACATACACACATGTTTTGTAAACGTTTGAGCCTTGAGGAGTGTGGAGCATGGGCTAGAATTTGTGTGGTAAGAAAGTAGTAAACACGCCGACAAATGAATGGCCATTATCTAAATTTCTAGTGCATCACTAGGCATCTATTTTCCCCGGGCTTGTAAACTTTACTAATCAACAAACTCTCCATTCCTGTCGGGTAACGTTTCATCTAATCCCCATGAATTTCTTGTGCTGTCCGAATTGGGTAGAGAGGAATTCGTGTTTTCTTCTGGCTTGGTGTGCCAAACCGACGGACCCCCTGTCCTCCAACGACGCAACATCTCCGATTAGACTTGAATTTGTCTGCAGCAGTGTCGAGAAAACCCTATCGTAAAATCACGGCATGAAATACCCAATTGGGTCTGCGTGGTGGCTTAAACATCCACATGTAAATGTTCTTTTACAATGCCTAAATGGACGAACATTGATCGTCACGCTCTGCTAATTCCGTCCTTCTCGCCTCCTTACTAAGCAAAGAAACAGGCTTTTTAAAATTCCGCTGACCTATTTCATTAACACACAGTTCCTTCGCTTCATATGTCCGCATGATGATCGATTCCCCAAATCCACTAGGTAGACGTGGCCCATTCGTTACTAGGCGATCTGTTGCGATTTCGCGAGGTTATCTCGTTCGACAGTGGACAAAAGATTTCCAGCCGTGTTTGTTGGCGCACTGGAAGAGGCTGTGCTCGTATGCTTGGTGACTGCGCATTCATGACCGTAACGGTTTACTAAACAGTAAATCGCTGCCCTGCTGATTGCTCGGTGTTAGGCAGGCCCGACTTTTGACTTCTGGTCGCTCTACAAACGGACTGCTCAATTCACAGGCACTGAACAGTGTAGCGTTCACCTTGATGATATTCTCCATTGCGATTTTTATACTACCAAGTCCCGAACCACGCATTGTGATGAAGGCATAACTAATGAAGTTTCCTAGTGGTTGCGTGTGTGTGTTTCCATCGTTTGCGTTAATCACATAGGTAAATAGAGCGTGTTTATGTGAGTGTGGGCTGGGGGAGGACGGAATCGTCAATTTAATCTCAGATCGTTTGCCTCACATGCGATGTCTCCGGTAGCCATGGTTGTGGACTCTGAGACTTTAGCTCCTGATCAAGCCGAAGGGGCCGCTGAAATCCACCAAGTAACTTTACTATACGTTTATTCTTAAAATGGAAGCAGCCTTTGTAAAAAAATAACAGTGTTCGAACGATCAACTTTCAGAGTCTCGGTAGCCTGCGCATTTCTCCGCCATCTCTCTATACGGAGGGACCTCCACGCGGCAGCTGCCACTCGATTCCTGCGACGGTGGCGTCAGCTTCTGGCCCCGCTGCGGTCTCACCGGACTCCGGGGACGAGGGAGCAAAGACACCGAAGGCGACAACGTCCAATTCCACGTCGTCGCGGGGCGGTGGGTTCTTTTCGCGGTTCCTGCCCTTCCGTGGGAGCACAACCACAGCGCCGTCTGGTGGACAGCAGTCAAAGGCTCCAGCCGCAGTGAGTCGCCTTTCACATCTCCTGATCCACATTTTCCACCATGCTCTCTTACTCACGTTCTCTTGTACCAGTCTCTGTCTGCCTGTTTATAACACAGTTTTAACGGTTGGTAGATTGATGATTGCTTCCTCGCCGAATGTCTTTTAGCGAATATTGTTACGTATGATGCGGTTACGCTCGCTGTGAAAGCAACTAGTAAGCTCTATTGAAGGAAATCACTGCTGTTGAACTCGATCTTCAAGACACCGTTGCTGGTCCCACTTTTAAAACTTCCTTTCAAATCTCACTAGTTTGGCTCCGCTGCAGAGTGCACCAGTTAACGATACTCCGGCCCGCACCCAAGAGAGCAGTTTATTTAAGTTGCAGGATGTGTTTGCGTCTGGCT